AAAGCCCTGGGTTCAATCCTAGTATGTGTGTAGAAGGGTTAATGTTTTATAGCCCCACAAAACATCTTATCTTCTTATCAACTATGCATAGCACTTGCTCTCTGGTGTGACCACATTCTTGATTTAAAATAAATAGGCCAAAAGCTGGGTGTGGTGGCTCATGCCTGTAATCCTAGCTCTTGGGAGGCTAAGGCAAATGACTCACCACACCAGACTTATAATCATCAACAACCTTTCCCATTCTTAAAATTTGTACCAATAAGGTGCTCTTCTTCCCATTAAGGCCAAATCCTCACTTTGGTATGAATGCCTTCCACTTCCTTCCTTCCATACATTCCTTCCATGCCTCCATACATTTCCTATGTAATGATCTCATCACAGATCCTTCTGTCTTTAGCCTACTTTCAGAACAGTTAGTACTTATCAACCACATTAATTCCACCATTTTTTGTGGGAGGGAGATAGGATCTCACTATGTAGCCCAGGCTAGCCTTTAACTCCTGATGATACTGCCTCAGTCTCCCTCAGTGTTAGGATTATAGGTGGACACCACATACCTGGCATTGTCTTTAAAACTCTAAGCCCCATACTTCTCTAATTGTTGCAATTCCCTCTGCTTCCACCTCCTCAAAGCAGTCCACTCTAACATCTGCCATAATCAAACCAGCAAAAAGGATACTGATTGTTATCTTCTTATAATTCCTGGGCATTTTATCTGACTTCTAAATAATATTAATATAAACTAGGTTTGGTTTATTCTCTGGGTTTTGTCTGGATTTCTACTTCTATCTCTTTAAGTTTCTTTTATGTCTTTTCCATGTTTAATCTTCTCCATCTACTACAGGTCAAATTAAAATGTTGGGTGCCATCTTCTTTTCTTATTATATATTTTGTCCCAGAGTAACCTCATCAAAGTTTGGCTATGGCTCTCACTAATAAGAACAAGCTGGTAGCACTTGATGATCCAGTGTTCTCTCAATAAATAACAGGGCCAGGGATATAAATCAGCAGCACAAGAGCTGCCTGGTAAGTTCAAAGGCCTGAGCTCAATTTCCAGTATCAAAATAAGTAAATTAAATATAAACACAAATCAGTGATAAACATTTAGATGCCTTTATGAAATATAGAAAAATTGAGACCTAGAAAAGCCTTAGGGACTTTGTTTTCCTTTATTCCCTAATATCCAATACATTATTGAGTCAGATTTTATATCCAAAATAGTTCTTTGCTACTCACAACTTTCATCTCTTCAAAAATTACACAATTTTTAATTTTTTTGGGGGGGTGTGTTTTGTTTTTTCAGACAAGGTCTAGCTATGTAGCCCAGGCTGGCCCTTTCACTGATTGTAATCCTCCTGCCTCAGCCTCCCTAGTGCTTCGGTTACAGGCATGCCCACCTCACCTGGCAATTATCTCCCTCTTACGTGTACCTTCTGAAAACCATCTTCCACACCATCATCAGAGTGAACTTGTAAAAAATAAAGGTAAGTGGGGTATGGTGACACACATCTTAATCCCAGCATTCAGGAAGCTGAGGCAGGAAGATCTCTGAGTTCAAGGTCAGCCTGAGTTGCATAGCTAAACTCTGTCTCAAAATAACAAAACAAGAAAGGGGGTGGAGGCTTGGAATGTAGCTTAGTTCAAAGGCCCTGGGCTCAATTCCTAGTACTGGAGAGAAAAGAGAGGGGAAATGAATGTAGGACAAGGAAAAGGGAATAGGGAAAAGACAGTTCTTACAGGCAAGTATAATTTGGGCCACATCTACTTCCTACCTTCACACTGTGCCACCCTCTAAGTCTGCACTGCAGATTTCTTAGGGTCAAATCACATACTAGATTCTGTTACAGAAGCCATCTCCTCCTCATGTGCCATAGTTAACTCTAATGCATCCTTTAAATTCCAGATTAAACCACCCAATGCCCTAGGTAAAATCCCCAGAACCATGCATATGGATACACACAAGACCAGACATAATGGCAGACACCTGAAATCCCAGCAATCTGAGGTGAGACAGCAGGATTGTACATTCAAGGTCACACTGGGTTGTATAGTGAGTTTAAGGCCAAACCAAACTGCACAGTAAGACCCTTCTCAAAACAGACACACACATAGCAACTTTACTAGTAAAATTGCCAATAAAACACCTCTACTAAAATTTCAGGATATATAACACTATTTCTTTTTTCTTTCCTTTTTTTCATTTTTTAGGAGTATTTCTACTGATGAATTATTTTGTTTTATTGGCCTTACTATACATAGTATACTTAACAGGAAAAGATCAATAACATTATTTTACAAAATATACTATGTGTTTAGAACATCAAGATTTTCAACATCAACTGTTTACCTACTTATATAATCTAAAAACTAACAAAAATAAATTCCTATGTGAACTACAATGAAAACACAAAACTCGTGCCAGGGAGATGGCTCAGCGGAATAAGCACTTGCCTGGCAATCGCAGGGGCCTCAGTTCCACCAAAAAAAAAACAAAAAAACACAAAATTCTACCACAAGAGGCTGGGGAGATGGCTCAGTAGAATAAGCATGCCTGAGTTCAATCCCTGGATCCGCAAAAAAAAAAAAAAAAAAAACTACCAAAGAAATAATCTTTCTTTGAATTATCACAGCTAAGGCAGTCTTCACACAAGAAAACGTGTCCCATACTTGACATCTTGCTTAATGTGTTCTTAGGAGGGTCTTCACCAGTCTGCTCCGAAGTTCTTTGGGCAGATACATATATTGTTCTGCCTCTGTCATAACTAATCATTTCATAATTCTAGTCCAAATCCTTTAAGAAAATTTTCTCCATGATATTATGTGCTTATTTTCTTTGCAAACTATGAAACTATTTATGCCTGACATGTTTAAGATCAAGTAAGACAAAACTATCGGCCAACTCTGTTTCAAGTGACATCATAGTTGCCATAAAACTCATCACCTACTTCTCTTTGCTATAAAATCTAACTATTTTTTACTTCATCTATGTTGAGGATTCACTATCAATCTTATCATGGTGTAATGTAACAGTATCAAAACTTTGTTTTTCTTCGCTATAGAGGTCAATTTATATCATTCCTTGTTTTTCTAATGTTACAACTTTCTAAAATCCAAAGATTGCACTATACATTTCTCTATTGTGAACATGCAACTTTTGGGGGAAAATCTCCTGCTTTGTTCCTGTGAATTGTTCCTGTATTGGTTAACTGGTGTTCTTTTAGCAAATGTAGTATCAAAGGATAACTAGTGAACCAGTTGTTGAATGTAACATTTGGGTGACTTTTGAAACAGGTGCAACAAGCCTATTCACAACACTATAGGGGCCGGGGAGATGGCTCAGTAGGATAAGCGCTTGACTGGCAAACGCAAGGATCTGAGTTCAATCCCCGGTTCCACAAAAAGAAAAAAAAAAAAAAAACATTATACAGTTTATTACTACATAAATAAAGACCTAGTGGTCGAGTTCTAGGATAGATTTTTAAATTCAAGGTATAAAATGCCTTCACATTTACCATGATACATATTTTTATACCATATTTAGAAGGTTTATTTGATTTATATTGTCAGAAGCTACAACCACAATGTATTTAGACAGTAACTGCCAACTGTTAACTCCTTAACAGTCTTAAATAAGGCTTTCAACAAATGAGTGAACACCAGCCAAAATGTCTGATTTTCTGTCTTTTCTTTTTTTTCCCTTTTCTTTCTTCTCTCTTGGCAGGTCTTTCTGTCATCAAAAGGTAGGCAGTTTCAAAGGAAACTAATCTTGAGTGTCATTATTGTTCTATAAATCTCAACATCTGTCACTTTTCCATAAATCCTTTAGATTCCAACCATTAGAATAATAAAAGTCCTACTTTTCTCCAGATAGTGAGGAATCATAATGAATACATTTTTGACTATTATTACTAGTGCATATAGAATGTTTTTACTTGTATTGTTAGCATATTTCACAACATCTTGTAGCATATTATCAGTTACAAACAATTTCCAACTTTGAATTATAGTATTGGCATTCCACTCGATAGGTTTCACTGGCAAGACCCTAACAACATTTTCAAAACTAATTCTAAAGTTGGACCGTTGAGATATACATGACCATTTTGTAGTATTTTAACTAATCAAATATTTATTTATTTTTGTCATCCCCTTGCCATTCTCTCTCTTCCCCTCTTCTCTTGCTTGGACTTATCAAAAATGATATAAATCTGAAAACTAGTAGAAACAAACAAAAAAAGTAATGAAAAGTGATTCTAGTCAAAATAAGGGGTGGGAGGGGCACATCTCTCCAGCACTCAGAACAGGGCATGAGGATCACCTCAAAATGAAGGCCAGCCTGGTTACACAGTGAGTTCAAGGTCAGTTTAGACTACACAGTGAGACTCAGTGTCCAAAATAAGTAAGCTAGACGGCCAGCCAAATAGCTCAGGGGATTAAAGCACCTGCTTAGGCAGATGCAGGGGCCAGAATTTCGATCCCCGGGGCCTGCCCCCTGCTAGCCCCACCACCAAGGCACACTGAGATGGTAACTGAAGCTGGGTGTGATGGCATGTGCTTGTAATCCCAGCACTTGGGAGGCTGTAAACAGGAAGATCACTATGAGTCTGAGCTACACAGTGAGACCCTGTACACCCTGTCCTAAATACCAAAAAAAAAAAAAAAAAAAGTAAGATAACACCTTCCTGGCATTTGCAGCTGGAATCTGAAAAATCCCCCCTTTTGTTTGTTTGAGACAAGACCTGGCTATGTATCCCAGGCTGTCCTTGAACTTTGTTGTTGTCTTCCTGCCTCAACTGCCCAGTGCTGGGACTATAGGGAAGCCACCAGGCCTGGCAGAAAATGTTAAATCATGGGATAAAAAATTTTTAGGATAAAATCTTATCCATTCAAAGGAAAAGATTACTGACCAGGGTAACAAAAACAAGGCTATATTAAAAGGCAACTACAAGTTTATAATTCCATACTACATGTTAATGTGTATAATCAACTACAAATACTACCTTTCATTTTTGAATGCGTGTTAATCAATGGATCAGAGCATATCCTGCAGGGCCACCATGGGCGTCTCTTGAATTTTGCCCAAATGAGATCTCCAACTTCATACTTCAGGGGCGTAGACTTTTTCTTGGGTTGACACTTTAGGTAAAAAAAAGAAAGAGAGTGTCAATAAGAATCAAAACCTTTTGAAACAGAACTTTCCTCTGCCCACTACTCTTAAGAAAAAGCAAAGCATTAAATATTCAAGATGAAAACAGGTCAGCCAAACAATTTCAAAATGAGTACAACTAAATTAGTCTTAATTATTCAAAGCATAGCCTTTTATATGACAGGCATCCTCAATTTATTTTATTTATTTTCTTTTTGGCGAAACCGGGGATTGAACTCAGGCCCTTGTGCTTGCCAGGGAAACACTTATTCTACTGAGCCATCTCCCCGGCCCCATTCTCAATTTATATTTAACATGATTGGTTTATCTATAATAGGAAAGTAGAATTGAGGCGTTTGGGGCCGGGGAGATGGCTCAGTAGGATAAATGCTTGACTGGCAAACGCAAGGATCTGAGTTCAATCCCCGGGTCCACAAAAAAAAAAAAAAAAAGAATTGAGGCGTTTTATGTCTGTGTTTTTGTTTTGTTTTTTTGCTGGGCTGAAACTCACTATGTAGCTAAGCTGGCCTCACGGCCATCCTCCTGCCTCAACCTCCCAAATGCCTTGGAATTACAGGTGAGTGTCATTGTACTCAGCAAAACTAAGCTGTTCAAGAAAAAAAGGGGGGGGGATGGCTTAGTGGAATAAGTGCTTCCTTGGCAAGTGCAAGGGCCTGAGTTCAATCCCCAGTTCCGCCAAAAAAAAAAAAAAGAAAAAAGGTACAGGGAGATAGCTCAGTAGAATAAGCGCTTGCCTGGCAAGAGCAGGGTCCTGAGTTCAATCCCCAGTATTTGGGGGGAAAAAAAAAACAAAAAAAAAAACCTAAAATAAAGTCAATCCCGGGCGGGGGAGATGGCTTAGTGGAATAGGCGCTTTCCTGGCAAGCACAAGAACCTGAGTTCAATCCCCGGTTCCTCAAAAAAAAGACCAAAAACAGATTCTGGGGCTGGTGAGATGGCTCAGTGGTCTAAAGCACCTACTTAGAACAAGCTTAGCAAAGCACAGGGACCACAGTTCAATCCCCCAGCACCACATGTCAGCCGCCAGCCCCGCCCCCTGGTGGGCTGAGCTGGACACACACACACACACACACACACACACACATTTAAAAAAAAAAAAAAATCAATCCCAAAGAAAAAGGTATCTTTAATCCATGGATCACCACATGAGGGAAAGTGTATAAAAAAATTTTAACAAAATCAGGGTCAGCAAGGTATCTCGGCAGACCGGCCCTAGCACCACATACTGCGCCAGCCATGGAGTCTGGAAATGGTAGTGCACACCTGTAATCCCAGTGCTGGGGAGGATGAGAATAGGAAGATCACTATGAGCCCAGCTTGTGTAATGAGACCCTGCACAAAATATCAACCCCCCCAAAAAAATCAAGGCCCAATTACTTCTTAAGGTGATATGCAATATCCATCAAGACATTTTTATTAGTTAATTAACAATAACAACACTAGTGAAAGTACCCTAAACACTATCTACCATAGGCTAGGCTCTAATAGTGTCAACTGACCTCAATGTTCCCTAGGATGTGCAAAGAATATCCAAAATACTACACTGGACAACTCCAAGGAAATACTCAAGTTCAATATGGGCAGGTGTTGGTTGTACACAATGAATATAATCACAGAACTCTGTGAGGCTAAGACAGGAAGATCACAAGTTTGAGCCAAACCTGTGCAACTTAGCTACTAGCAACACTCTTGTTTCAAAGAAAAAAAGGGAAGGGCACCTCAATGTGATGACCCTGCAGTTAATCCCCAGAACTCCAACAATAAAAATAAAAAACACTAAGAACAAAACTCTTGGGACCGGGGAGATGGCTCAGTAGGATAAGTGCTTGACTGGCAAACACAAGGATCTGAGTTCAATCCCCGGTTCTGCAAAAAAAAAAAAAAAAAAAAAAAAAAAAAATCAGGTGAAAGATTTGGGCTGGAGAGATGGCTCAGTGGTCTAAAGCAACCACTTGGAACAAGCTTGGCAAAGCACAGGGACCGCAGTTCGATTCCCCAGCACCACATGCCAGCCAGCCGCGCCCCCTGGTGGGCTGAGCTGCCCCCCCCACACACACACACAATAAATAAATGTTAAAAAAAAAAAATTATTGGGCTGGAGAGATGGCTCAGTGGTCTAAAGCACCTACTTGAAACAAGCTTGGCAAAGCACAGGGACCGCGGTTCGATCCCCCAGCACCACATGCCAGCCAGCCCCGCCCCCTGGTGGGCTGAGCTGGCCACACACACACACAATAAATAAATGTAATAAATAAATAATTTAAAAAAAAAAATATTCAAAAAAAAAAGAACAAAACTCTTTGGATTTATCCAACACATAGTCTGTAACCAAATTGTTACTTCAAACATAATATACTAAGTGATCTGAAATACAACTGCCCTGTGCAAGCTCTAAGCTTATACCCAGGCTTTTGACACCCCACAAACAGCACAAATATTCTGCCTTGAAAAGAAGACAAAACAAAATTAGCCAGATACAGAAAGACAAGTATCAAGGCTGAGTTCAATCCCCAGTTCCGCCAAAAAAAAGAAAAGAAAAGAAAAGAAAAGAAAAAAGGCACAGGGAGATAGCTCAGTAGAATAAGCGCTTGCCTGGCAAGAGCAAGGTCTTGAGTTCAATCCCCAGTATTTGGGAAAAAAAAAAAAAAAATAGTTTTGTCTTCTTTTCAAGGCAGAATATTTGTGCTGTTTGTGGGGTGTTAAAAGCCTGGGTATAAGCTTAGAGCTTGCACAGGGCAGTTGTATTTCAGATCACTTAGTATATAGCTCAGTAGACTAAAGCGCCTGGTTAGGAAGAGCATAGCGGCCAGCCAAGGTTTGATCTCCTGCATGGTATGCCAGCCGTGCTGAGAGGGTGATTCATCCTGGGCATTGTGGTGCGCACCTGTGATCCCAGCACTTGGGAAGCTGAAAACAGGAGGATCACTACGAGTCTGATCTGTGTAGTAAGACCCTGTACCCCTGTACTAAATACATTTTAAAAAAGACAAGTATCACGTTTTCCCTAAGTGGAATCTTAAAAAAATATAATCTAATGGCCAGCCAAATAGCTCAGTAGATTAAAGCGCCTGCAAGCAGGCACAAGGGCCAGGGGTTTAATTCATGGGCCTGCCATGCCCGTCCCACCCCAAGTGTGTGCTGTGATGTTGAGACTGGGCATGGTGGTACACACCTGTAATCTCAGCACTTGGGAAGAGAAACGAGAGCATAAGGGATAATAGACAAGAATCAAAGCAAGATAAATGGACATATGATCAGTGAAACCCATTTATTCACACAATATACATTAATAATTCTCAAAAATTAAGTTAATAGTTAAATGACAGGGGTGGGGGAGAAAAAGATTGTTTAATAGGCAAAGGCTTTCTATCTAGTTCATCACAAAAGAGTTGCAACTATACTATCTCTAGGTATCCAAAAGAAATGTATCTAGACATACGAACTAAGAGTAACCCTTCCTATCTATTTAAAAATGGAGCCGGAGAGATGGTTCAGTGGAATAAGCGCTTCTGTGGCAAGCGCAAGAGTTGCCACATTGAGTTCAATTGCATTCAAGTGCATTGAGTTCAATCCCTGGTTCCGCAAAAAAAAAAAAAAAAAAATGGATATAAAACCATTTTCTGGAAGAACCACATCTTGCAAAGAACTGGCCCAGCCTTGACAGGACATGCCTATAATCTCCACACTCCAGAGGCTGAGGTAGGAGGACTGCTGTAAATTCAAGGCCAGCCTATGTTACACAGTGAATTCAAAGTCAGCCTAGATGGGCCAGGGAGATGGCTCCGTGGAATAAGCGTTTGCCTGGCAAGTACAAGGGCCTGAGTTCAATCCCTGGTTCCGCCCAAAAAAAAAAAAAAAAAAAGTCAGCCTAGACTGCACATAGTGAGACCCTGTCTCAAAAACAAAAGCTTGACGCCGGGGAGATAACTCAGCAGCATAAGCACCTGCCTGGCAAGCGCAAGGTCCTGAGTTTGATCTCCAGTGTACAAAAGAAAAAGTTTGGTTAAGGTCCTTCATTAGACTTAATCTTCCTGTTTATGCCTAAAACATTCATTATACACAACTCTATGATCAAACAGGTATAAAACCTCACTTTATATTATACATATATACCAGATTAAGTCATTAGACTTAATCTCCCTGTTTATGCCTAAAACATTCATTATACACCTGGCACAGATTAAGTATTTTAAGAAAAAAAAAAAGAGCGAGAGGGGAGGAGGGGAAGGGAAAGAGGAAGAAGGGGGAAGAAAGGGAGAGGGAG